AGATAATTAAACAAGTTTAAATGTAATTTTAAATACTGTTACCAATCCGTAACACATGATGTCTAAAATACTGAATAGAATTAATGTTTTGCATACCTTTCAAATTAATACCCATTTATATCAATAAACAAACAGATGTTTAGTAATTCACATAAATTTCATTGAATTTATTATTCAATAAATGATATATTATTTGATTATCATTTGTTATATCAATCATTGATTGTTTAGGCGTTCCAATGAACGAATTCACCACTACTACTGACACCACTGACACGATATTACTCTCGGTAAGGACGGCATCGGCACCTAATACTATGCTATTTAACTTTAGTTCCTTAACAAACACAACGACTACTACTTCAACAACAGTTTCTAAGTCATTGACCACACATTCAGCTTATACTACAAATATGACAACACAATTAACTAGATTGAGACCAACCAAAAAAGCAACTATTAAATTCAATTCTGTGCCTAAAAACGAATTCAATTCTAAGCCTAAAACCGAATTCAATTCTAAGCCTAAAACCGAATTCAATTCTGTGTCTAAAACCGAATTCAATTCTAAGCCTAAAACCGAATTCAATTCTGTGTCTAAAACCGAATTCAATTCTATGCCTAAAACCGAATTCAATTCTGTACCTAAAAAGCCATTCAATTTTATGGATAAAAAAACTTTTGTCTCATTGCCTAAAAAGAATAAGAATCTAGTGATGACATCGACGACAGCCATTACACAACACGATTTAACTAGATTTATGCCAACCACTGAAACTAACAGCAAATCTACTACAACGACAAATATACACATAATTAATACTGATAAACCTCTGACAACCAAACTTTTAAATACAACCACAATAACTACTCCACAACCAACCATAACAACATCAATATCTACAACTAATACTACCCCCAAACCGATGACAACTACATCTACTATGCCCACACTTACAACAACTACCCCTAATAATATAACAATTAACCCTGGTTCCATAACAACTATATATAATCCTACGACAACTAATACTACTTCCAAACCGACGGCAACTACATCTACGGCAACGACTATTGTACCCACATTTACACACCGGCATGTACCCACTGCTCCGTTAACTACAGAAGCATTTCCATCCGTTTCAAGCATTGCCGCGCAATCCATACTAAACAACAACCACTTTCAGACAAACACAATAACATCCACAACAATAACTGATACAATACCTACTAATACATCTGTATTGACATCCATTTTAACGACAACACACACTACCGTAAAACCTCCAACGACTTCACTCATATCATCGACAACTATAATCCCGACTAAAATTACTACAATTACATCTACAAACAGCACAATTATAACTACCCCTAAACCCATAACAACTATACCGACAACAAAGTTAACTACAGACAAACCTACGACAATGACATTCATACCAACATTTATGACTGCCCCTAATCTTACAACAACTACAGTTATACCTTCAACTTTGACCACTACGAATAAACCTCCAACAACGGTATACATTACAATACCCAACACTACAATAACAGCTAAAACAACAGTTACTAACACATTGACTACTACTCCAAATATGCATTCAAATTCTTCGTCTAAAAATGTTACAAATTTTATAAATAATAATATTTCCGTCTCAATGATCAAAACAAGTAATAATCAATTGATGACAACCACTAATAGTTCCCAAAATGTGTCAAATCCCTACCTAACTATACACGGCTCCCGACCCTATTTGAATATTCTGGTGCCGTCCGTACTAAACCAAACTGTGTCCACACAAACTCTAAGGACAACCAATCCTAATATTATAAATACAACGGATTCTTCTCGTGGTATCCAATCTAATACAACATATCAGACACTGAATTCAAGTGCTATAATGAATACTACAAAAACTTCAACTGTATCCACAACCATATCCCATACCATACCTATTAATAGTTTTACATTAACATCCACTATGACAACAGTGACCGATACCCCTAACCGTACAACTATGACAGATATGCCTTATATGTCGACAATGCAAACTACCCCTAAACCACTAACAACAACAACAACAACCTCTTCACCGACGACCACTACTTCAACCAATCAATCAACTAAAATAATAGTTACCACACATTCGACTACACTTATGCCAACTCTTACAAACACGACCACTATTTCTGTAGATTCTATGCTCAAAAACAACTTAGATTTTATGAATAATGAAACCTTTGTATCATTAACAACGAGTGGTAATCAAGTGTTTGCATCGACAACAACCCCTAAACCCTCCACAATAACACCAATTCCTTTGGATATGACAACAACCCTAACGCCACCGATAGATACCACAACTATAACTACAACTAAACCCACTATCACTACACCAATAATGGCATCGACACATTCGACTACGATAACAATCAACAAACCTATCACAATAACACCTATACCTATCACAACTATAACTACCCCTAAACTTACAACAACTATACCTACAACTTTGCTAAATACTAATAAACCTGAAATAACTGCAAACATAACAACAACCACTACTACAACAGTTAAAACAACAGTTACCCACCCGTTAACCACCAATTCAAGTACATTCACAGCATTTACAACACCTTCAACTAGTTTTATGACAACACTTACGACTACATCCAATATTGCTTCATATTCTGTGCCCAAAAACAACTCAGAATTGATGAATAATAAAACCTCTATAATATTCACAACAGAATCAGATATAACAGCTATTACTAGATCTACACAAACACCCGCTGCAACACCAATGGTTACTACATCTAAACCTATGACAATTATAACTACCATTATAAATATGTCCACGACCCGTAATTTTACAACAATGTCATTCATACCGACCACAACTATAACTAACACTGAATTTACATTGACTACACCAATACCTGCAACTATGATAACTACCATTGAACCTCCGACAACAACAACAATACTTATACCCAATGATTTAAACCCATTGACCACTCAATTAACTAATATTACAGACTTTATAACGCAACACAATTCAACTAGATTTATGTCAACCACTGAAACTAACAGTAAACCTACTACAACAACAACTATACCTATGATTAATACCGGTGAATCTCTCACAACGAAACTTTTAACTACAACCACAATAACTACTCCACAACCAGACATAACAACATCAATACCTGCGACAACTAATACTACCCCCAAACCGATGACAACTACATCTACTGCAACGACAACTGTACCCACAATTACAACAACTACCCCTAATAATACACAAATTATACCAAGTTCTATGACAACTATACCTAATGCTACGACTTCTACACCTATCGTAAGCACTCATACATCCAAATCAGATACTGTATGTCCGGATTCCAAAGACATAGTTCCCTGTATTTGTACCCAAAGTATGATATCTTGCGCTTCAAATCAAATTTTTCCTTTGGAATCCATATTAAAGACAATCGCCGAACGAAATGCCAATAATAATCACACGTTTGATGTCTTCGAGTTAATCAGTTCATCGGTTTCGAAACTGTCGGCCAATATATTTAGTGGACTCGCATTCACGACAATCCGTTTGACAACATTCAAGCATTTGTTATGTATTTCTCCAAAAGCTTTCAATGGGTTGGAAAAGTCTGTCACAAATTTCATAACGACTGCCACTCATTTCAAGTATTTATCCATACAGTATGTAGTAAATTAAACATGTTATTTAATATTTTAATTTAACAGTTTTTATAGTGAACTATTAGGGAGTGAATGTTGCGTATTCTGTGCACTGAAACCATTGGAAAACTTAACCCAAATCAAAATGACTAAGAGTAATATTAGAGAAGTGCCAAACAATATATTTAAACAAGACAGTTTTAAACACAAAAAGCTGGTTTCCATTGATTTGAGTAACGGAGAGATATCCAAAGTGTATTCACACGCTTTTCAATATTTAAATGGTATGAATATTATTAAATTCTATATAAATATTTATGTTTTAAAAATGAAAATTAACTAACAATTGAATTCTTAGCCTTAACTGAAATCAATCTCTCGGGAAACATAATCAGTCGAATTGAGTCCAAAGCGTTTGCATTCAGCGAGAAATCCAATCAATCATTGGATATAAATTTGAATTCAAATCTATTGAGTGTCGAAAGCTTTTATAAAAACACATTTGATGTCAACGATAGGAAGACTTCCCTTCATATGAGAAACAATACGAATATTCCTCTCCTAAAAGAGCAATATTTCAGACCATTTATATTGGATTCAAACCACAATACCATTGATTTGACGGACAGTCCTCTTAAATGCGATTATTATAATGTATGGATACTTGAAAATAAAAAACGATTACAAAATAGGATATTAGGATTAAACGCCAACTTCTGGGAACAAACGCCCAATAAATGTAATAATATTTAATAATAAGTTATATTTGTAAATGTTTTCTGTTTTAATTATTGATGTAATTGTGTGTATAATTTTATTTATTAATAATTAATTAAATATTCTTAATGTTAAACAATTAATTTTTAACATATTTAGATTTATTGTTTATTTATTATTATACAAATAAAACTAATTGATTACCATAATTATAAATACAGCAAATACTTATCGTGAGTAAATTTTAAAGTTCACATTGTAGGTAAATTTTATTTTTATTTTACATACAGTAAGTGATAAACTTGTTTTACCAACATATTTACTATCTAATTACTAATATACTTATATTAATAATTAAATTATTTAATATAAAGATAAAACTTTATAACATTCATCATGTCTAAAATTATTATAAATTTAAAAATCTTATAGTAAAATTTTATTTAAAAATCAATACATATTAAATGTTGTATTTATTTAAAACTTTAAATTACACTTTTTAAATGTACAGTAAAAAACAATAACTCTCAAAATAATAATAATTGAATACATAAATTATTTTATTAACAAAAAAGGGCTAATCAGTGGGTTATGGGAGGGTTAGGCTTATTTGTCGCACTGACTGGGAGTGTGTCTCCAGAACTCTATCCCGGATTCGGCGGAAATAACATAATTGATTCTTCGCTGTAATTTGAATTTACTTTCCAGAATCCATAGATTGGGTTTAGCGCACGTCAGAGGACTGCCTCTCATGTCCAGCATATTCTGTTCCGCGGGATTGGATCGACCGGTGTTTAAGAGGAATGACCGGAACACCGAGTCCTTCAGCACCTGGAGGTTGGGATTGCCGCCCAACTTGACGGTCGTTATGCGGCCGTTCGTCGACATCGACTCCACTTCAAAGCTCTCTTGCGTGAGAAGATTGCTCTCCAAATTGATGGTCAGGTATTCGTTGGACGAGTCCTCGAAGTAGAAGGCGTGCGGATCTATCTTGCTGATTTGGTGCTGCGATAAGTCTATGTATTTCAGCGCTGAACACAACGGTCACACATGGTCAATTAATGTTCACACGGTTACACGTGTATTGGAAAGCATATGTTTTGCATTACCTTTAAGTGAGGCGAACGCGTTGCGACCAATCTTGGTGATCTCTCCGCCCTGATTACCGCTGAGGTCGATATGAGTGAGTTTATCGATATTACTGCCGGTCTCGTGAAAGGCTCCCTCAGGAATCTCCCGGATTCTGCTGCCCGTTATATTAATTGCCCGCAAACTTTTCAGACGTCTCAACGAGTCGAATATATTGCATCCGGGTTTCTCTCCTTGGCTATTGTATTGACACAATTTAATTTATTTGATTGACATTTGTTTTTAAGTGTTGATAAATAGAGTAATTAATAAATATAAGTTTAATTTAATTGACTGTGTTAATAATAGGGAGGGGTGGGGTCGGGTTGGATGAAGCAGATGTCAAAGTGTTTGCTTAAAGACCATAATGTGTTTAAAGAAACAAAAATCTCCACTTTTCTCATATATTAATATTACACATTTCAAGTGTAAACCGCACCCAAAAACAAGCAAATGCCGGCCACAAACCTAAAACTGGTGTCGTAGCCGATAAAATTCTCGAGCGTCCTCTCCATGCCGTAGAAGGCTGTGGGAGAAATGCAGTTCAATTTGGAGCAGTGCAGGAATTTCAGTGTCTTGAATGTGACGCCATGGAAGATACTGTCCTTCAATTCTATGATGAGTGGTGTACTCAACTCAAGCGACTCAAACTGTTTCTCCTCTTCGGTCTTTCCATTGCCGGCCGCTTTGAACACTTGTTCCAAATCAAACTCGATGGTCGAAAAGCAGCGCAGATTCTTGTCTTTGCAGGTGCAGGGCTTGATGTCGTCGGGCGCCGGACACCCGCCCTCTCCCTCTACCCGTTTGCGTTCGCCGTTGTCCTCCCCCTCCGCGGCCACCATTTGCACCGTCAGAGCCGCCACTAATATAAGCGCTTCTCATTTCACGCAATCAATTGTATATTTGGTTAGAATTGTTGTCGTTTTAGTTGTTTCGCACAATTATAAGCGCATTGTTTTACCTTTTAATGATGTCATTATCTAATTAATTGGTTTAAAAACTAAATTAAATATACAAAGATAAATGGTGTTGGTATTTATTTTATTAATATATTACATTAATTAACAACTCATATTAATAAATGGAGTTTTCGACTCCAACACAGATTGTTTTGATTTCATTAAATGAATTTTAATCAATACTTTTATTTGTTTAATTAAAGTTTTCTTTTATAGTGAATTACATTAATTATTAATTAATTATACATAACATTAATTATACAACAATTTTAATAATGTTTTAAAATAATAGTAATGCAATACTTAAATTACAAAAATTATTTTATAATTTTGATTAACTCATTGTTAATTACATTATGAATTTGTCTTTATTTGCAATCATTTGTTTTATTAAATTGTTTATAAGACTAATCTAATTAAATTAAATCTACTTTAACTCCAATTCTAAATTAATAATTTAAGACACAGAATATCCCATTCTAATGGATTAAACGTCCCAAAATCTACTTTTCACTGTTCACTTTGAAATCTATTTAAAATAAGTTATTTTTCAAGTTTTTAGCCCATTAATTGTGCTGTAAATAACTTATATTTTACCGTAACCATAACTAATTAAGCATTTACTTGATATTTTGCACAATATTTATTAACTTATATTACTAATAAATAAACACCAATTGAATAAGCAATTAAATAACTTTCTAAATATTATATCACATCTAAATAAATTAAATGACACATTAAAACATACATTACACTCTCTGTTAGCAACAATTACCAATTATATCAATTAATTTGTATTTATGGAGAAACAATTTACTTGACTTATTGTAACGTAAATTAAGTACAATTATAATAAAGCTATAAAAGTTAATAACCCGGTAAATTGCGTCAACAGATTGCGTCAATTGTTTTAAATTTATAATATTATTTTAATCATATTTAAGAATTATATAAATTATATAATATGTTATAAAATGTTCTAATTCAATCTAGCTTAAAATATTTATGCACATATTTTTTGTGTTTAATAATTATGGTTAACAATAACACTAATAATTATAGTATAATAATACAGTACATAGTATGATATAATTATATAGATATATAGAAAAAACAAAATAACAATCTAAGGTAAAGTTATCATAAGTAAAAATACTGTCCACTATATAATGTAAATTCTAAAGTTTATTACATTGATTACGAGAGTGTCGCCAAAAATCGGAACCTGATTCTGAAAGTATATTAAATAGTTTATAATGTAAGTGAAATTTGTGTTTTATAATCCATAGGTTATCGCGATTACAATTAAGTGGAGAGCCTTTCAATTCAATGCTATTGTCGAACAATGGATTCAGATTACCGGCTGTTGTCAGGAATGGTCTAAACACCGATTCTTTGAGCACTTTTAAGCCCGGATTCGCTCCCAATAGCAGTCGAGTCGGCCGTCCGTTCCCTTCTATCGCCTGACCGGCAAAGCTCTCGGCATTCAGTCTATTATTCTCCAAATTGATTGTCAACCTCTCATTTGAGGGCTCATTGAATGCAAACGCATAGGAGTCTATGGAATCAATCTTATGGGCTGAGAGGTCTATATACCTCACATCTATATATCAAAAACAAAACGTGATCAAAAAACTTGAACAAATGTAAAATGTAAATTACTTTTAAGGCTTGCGAATGCGTTTTTGCCGATCTTGGTGATATTTCCTCCCTCTCCGCCACTCAAGTCAACGGTTGTGAGCAGTAGTTGAGCGCTATTTGCCTCTTGGAAGGCGTCGGCCGGTATTTCCGTCAGTTTACTGCCCGTTATGTTAATTGAGCGCAGAGTTTGCATTCGTCTCAATGCGTTAAATACATTGCAATCGCTTTGGTTTGTAATGCTATTTGAATGTTAAGCAGAAAAAAAATATTTTTATGTAAATTTTATTATCAATTTTCACTAACAAATCGATACACATATCGTATGTCAAGACAACAGCGCAAAAATTTGGGTCATTTTGTTGATTTAGTTTTCACTCAATTAAAGTGAGTGCCAATCAATTATGAGTCCAAAAACAAGCATTAATACTATCATTGATCACATAATTCACAGAACTAACACTCGACTGATTAGGATCTATACAGTGACTGATTTATTATAATAATGGATTTTAAGGACGATATTATATAAATATTGTTACAACAGAATATTCTTGACCTATTTATTAAGATAATGTTTATATTTTTGGTAACTTTTAGTCTATTATTGTTCATCGATTACACAATGTTTAATATGCAAATGTAGTAATGACATCATATTTAAAAATAAATTTAGATATTGAAATAAAAATAGGAGAAAGAGAGAGAGAGAGAGAGAGAGAGAGAGAGAGAGCCAACAATGAGTTTGATTTAAGCGTTATTTTTGATGTAATTGCCAGTAATCGCAATGAAAACGATAAGTCGTTTGAGACGTTGGAGTTAAGCAATAATCGGTTGACAGGACTGGAGAGAGAAAGAGAGAGAGAGAGAGAGAGAGAGAAATGGTTATTAATTATGAAATATTTTAGATGTTATCATTAAAATACCTGAAACTTGTATCGTATGCCTGGAAAGAGTTGAGTGTTTTCTCCATTCCGGAGAAAGCGGTGGCGGAAACACAATCCAAACGATTGCAGTGCAAAATCTTGATCGTCTTGAAAGTGATGCCATGGAAGACACTGTCCTCCAGTCCTGTCAACCGATTATTGCTTAACTCCAACGTCTCAAACGACTTATCGTTTTCATTGCGATTACTGGCAATTACATCAAAAATAACGCTTAAATCAAACTCATTGTTGGCGTAACACCGGATTGTGTTTGGATCACAAGTGCACGGCTTTATAGTGTCCGGATTGGGTGGACAGACACCGCCGGCCGACTCTCGTATGCATAACACAATTACCACAAACTTTGCCGCTAATGACAGCAATTGATTGCATTGAATAAAGTAATTAACTCTACGGTTAAGTAATCGTATCGGCTGTGAAAACATGATTATTCAAACATATAAAATGCAATTACAATTTTAAACAATTGTGTAAAGTATAAATATATGAGTTATATTAATGAAAACTCCTGTCAACTTATTATGTAATTAATTAATTTCTATAAATAATACTTTATACCTAATTAAAAGTTATAATTTATAGCCTATTTTAATTACTGTTAATATATTCCATCAATGAATGTTTGCAATACTATTTATTAAACAACTAAAGTATTTTACAAAAACTATATCGCATTTATGGGCAAATAGATTTTGTCCTATTATATTGTAATCTATAAATAATTGTGTAAATGAACGTAAAGGGCATTAATAAACGTGATATAATTATTTTATTAATAAAATGTGTCATTACATATACTGTCGATATTCATCATTAATAAGTCAATTATATTTTAAAATGTTTTAAAGAATTACTTAATATCCAAAGAATATGAAGTATTAATCTCAACATTAGATGTCAGGCCAGAGAACCCAAAACTATACAATTGTTTTCGTATTCAGTACTGAACAGTAATTTCTGTTAGTTTAAGAATTTGATTATATTTAATACAAACTAAGCATAGAATATATTATTGAGAGTTTATATTAATATAATTTTTATACATAAAAAATAAACAAGTTGTTTATGCAAACAATTTATTACAGTTTTGATTAAATGGTTAGCTTATCGATTAATTGTCGGCACATTTTATATACCAAATCTATAATTTATAACATAATTAATATCACTATTTTATTTGTTTTATATAAAATTGGTTTCAATAATATTACTATAAAGCAATGCTCAACACTTGTGTAAATTATATAGTATTTCACATGGACAATTTACACCAGCGCTCAGTACTGCTATAAAGTAAAGTGTATTTTATATTGATTACTGGTATATTTGTGTGTTATTTCTGTAATTATAAGGTATTCATACAACTGTTAACATTGTTATGAATTTTACTACAAAATATTAGAAAAGAAATATTGAATGAAATAGAAATTACAATCAATTGATGGATATATACAGCATATAAATGAAATACTATATTACAGGTGTTGTGTTAACAAATGAGCGCTGAATTGCAGCCGATGTCAGTCAGACCTAACAGTATATCCACTAAAATGAGTTAAACACAAACAAACGATACATTAGTTTTATGACAAGAAATCAATTGTTGAAAAGTCGGAGTGAATTAAGTTTTTGGTTCTGTATTTTCATTGAGAATATAACTACATATAAAAGATAAAAATCATTAGGACTTACAGTGCATTCAAATCCCATGAGAGCCTCGGAATGACTACTACGACTACCAGTAGTACTAACTATTGAAAGCCATTTGTGATGAAATACGATCACAAATTGAATGGACAGAAATGTGAGTGAATGGACGGACAGACACACAGACAGACACAAACAGCCTATGAGACAAACATTCAATACTCGACTCTCAAGTCGACCACAAATAATGAAATATATATTGAATGAAAGGGACCAACAAATGGAGAAAAAAATAACACATCTATGTTATAAATATACGGCGTTTTCTTCATCCATCCGTCAGACACTGGCCTTCCGTTTGGTTGCAAACCAAAAGTCGAGCGCTTATTATCACTGCATTGACCACAATATATATGAAATGATGAGACAATTTGTATCTCAAGAGACAATTATTGACAAATTTTGTGTCAATTTCTCTTCACATATATTTCTGATACCAAATAACACAAAGAAATAGAAGCAGAAGAAGAGGAAGATGTGAAAAATTATTTTGTCACAAATATTATTGAATTGTTTGCTATTATTAAAGCGCGGATAGAAAAACAAGTTTGTTTTGCGTTTACAATATCAATATAATATACAAATTATAAGTTTTGTTTTTATCAATATATTCTTTCTGTCAAAATGTTTGCCAAATATACTGTATTATTAAAGACTTGTAGTTTTTTCGTATTATTCACTCATAATTTATTTAATCATTTCATACAGTAATACATGTTTACATACAGTTGAAAGTTGAATTTGGAATATATGTGTGAAAAAAATTACACTATTTATGCCATTATAGTTAATGTTAGTTAATCTTTCTAGCGTTTCTTTTGTAAAGGCAATTCTGACCCGTACTGTACTGTGTGTGCAGTCGGACTGCGCCTCACATACACTATACTTTACACTCATATCCTAATCACTGCTTATCTGATTCCTATAAACTCTATTCACTTATATTATATCCAATACTCTGTATATTGTAAACTCTATGGAATGTTATACTATTTTATACTTATGGAAAACACTGTAAACTCTAGATATATTAACCCATACTATGTGTCGAGCAGAGGGTATATAAGACCTGCCTCTGCTCTCCATTAAGTCAGTCTATGTTGGGCTCTTGGAGAGCTCAGGTCTGCTAGACTCAGACCATAACCATTATCATTACATTATAAATAAACAGTTGTTTTAGTTATAAAACTGGTTGACTATTAGATTCTTGACAGCGAACTGTGTTTGGCTTAGGCCTAATACACCCTCAACACAGTGCCCGACTGCATGTGTGTAATAAGAAAATGTATTCACAAAAGGAGTGCTTTAATAATAGGGAATCAATCGATTGAATAAAGGTTTTCACGAAATGAGTGATGAATTGGAGTCTAAAAGTGATTGGAAGGGAGAAAAGGACGAGAAAAACATCAGTCGATCAGCGGTTTTGTGACAAATAAATAATAGACTAATGAAACGAAAGGGCAAAATAATGGGCGCTCACCGGTCTCTATCCTCCGATCTCTCTCTCTCTCTCTCTCTCTCTCTCTCTCTCT